GGTGATTAGCACTGTTGCCTCCTGAGTTTGACTTCACCTTGTGACCAGGGTCTTGTGTTGAGTTTGTATGATCTCCCCGTGTTTGTGTGGGTTGTCTCCAAGTATTCTGGCTTCCTCCCACAGTCCAAAGACATGCTGTTAGTGGGGTTAGGTTAACTGATGATTATAAGTTGCATATAGCTGTGAATGGTTGTCTGTCTCTCTATATTAGCCCTGCGAAAAAGTGATGACCTATCCAAGGTGTACCCTGCTTCTAGCCTTATTGTAGCTGGGATTGGCTCCAGCCCCCCTGCAACTCTGAAAAGAATACGTAGAAGAGAACTGATGGATGGATGGATGGATGGTTTTAAAAATTTGCAGTATAAAAAAGAGCAGAAATTAATTGAATTATTGTTATTAAAACACATAATCACGCATCCATTAAAATGATGCTCTGTTTTATTACCATTTATGTTAGATAGTGTTTTATGTTGAATCTATTTCACACATTAATGCATAAAGATCAAATAATTATTGTAAATTGTGCAAATAATTATACTAATACAGACGGAAATCTTCAACAGACATCACTATATTATAACATGTCTACAGGTAAAATTTGACTTAACTTATACATCAAGTATCACACAAGAAAATAAACAGGTTATGGGTACAATAGTGTAAAGATGTGTAAGGGCATGTCACCTTTGAAATAAAACAACTGAAATGTGCCAAAATATGCTTTGAGGTGCTTTTAAAAATACAGACGATTCTCCTTTACGTATCATTAGGCATTGCACTCTTTCCACTGTGGAAAGTGCTCTATAAATCACCTTATGACTTACACACATATCTGTTGAGATGCTATAGGTTAGCTCTTTCACTACCATCATCTACAACTAAATACAATCAACTCAGATTTCCTGTTTTATAAATAGCATTGTAGTCTAGTTTTGGCTCTGAGGCTCCAGATTGCTCACTACACCATGGCTGGAAAAGCAAAAGATCCCAACAGCAGAACCACAAAGGTGACGATGTGGCTCTCTCCACTCTGGGTGCCGCTGCCAGAGCCGCTGTTGCTGGTCTGATTGCGAGTAGTTTTAGTACTCAGTCCTGTTGATGCAGTGGTTGTCCCCATGACCTAAAGAGCAAACCAACAGAATTTATGACACTGCATTGTGCTGTATGATATTGTATACTTTACATGTAATAACTTTATGTTCAGGCCGAGATTTTAAAGCAATGCATTAACACTGAAAAAATGTAACAGCAGGATAGTTTTTCCATCAAAAATAATCTTGGTTCACTGGTAAGATTTCCTCACGTACTTTATACATTTATTTATTTTAGTGTATACGTTTTTCATTTTTCTTTGAATTCAAAGAAATATGAAAAAACAAAGATTTCCATTTTATTTATTCATTTATTCTGTACTTTTATCTTTTTTGATCATTTCTTACAGCTGATAATGTATTTCATCTACAAGTAAATACAATAAACTCTGATTTGCTGTGTGATAAATAACATTGTAGTCTAGTTCTGTCTCTGAGACTCCAGATTACCCACTGCACTGTGGCTTAAAAAGCAAAAGATCCAAACAGCAGAGCCACAGAGGTGGCAATGCGACTCTATCCTCTCTTTGCATTCAATTGACTATATGCACAAGAAAATGCTAACTTCCTGGTTTGAGACCAGATGTGGGGTGGTACATTTCCGGTAGCTTTACTTTGCGGTCAATCGCTACTGCGAAGATATACTCCAAAATCATGTCCAAAACTTGAAAACGGAAAGATCGCGTTAAGTTACAAAGAGCACAAGGTGGGAACACTCACCACTGTTGTGTCATAAAAAAATCTAATGATCAATTTTGACGTTTAAAGAGTTTAGATCGATCAGTTGTTTATCACTCAACACAAGCAGAACTGCATTACTGCAGCAGAAGACGCATCGTCCACATTCAGAAGCACATCTCTGTATAGTGACTGGTCTTATGATTTAAACAGGCAAATGTTCAGCATTCAAACTACAGATGAACTATAGTCAAACCAGATGTTTCCCCGTTATGTCGATATCACCTAGTCAAGTACACACCCACACAGCATGTTAACAAACCGTGAAAAAAAACCCACACAAAAAAATGAATGATTGCTGGTAAGGGTTTCTATACATTAGTATTTACGAAGGGTATGTTGTGACTTACCTTCAAAATTACAGCAGTCCCTCACTATAACACGTTTCACATTTCACCTTGCTGTTTCGCAGATTTTTTAGTGCAAGTTTGCATGCTTTTTTTCCCCCTCCGTGACGTCTCTCCTGTACAGTACAGAATTGCTGCATCGATTGCTAGCAGTGTGACTCTGAAGTGCAGTACTGTATGTCCATGATGTCCACCAAACATTTTGCACTGTCAAAAAATTAAATTGGCTACTTGATTTCACCTATCGCTGGTTATTTTTAGAACATAAGACCCGTGATAAACGAGGGACCGCTGTTTACTGATACTGAGAAATATGACATTTGAATCCCTTTTCTCTTTTGCTCTGAGGCGCAGGGAAAAAATATCGACAAGTCGATGAACATCATTTACAGATATATTGGGTAAATGCCCAAGACATCTATAGAAATGTAAATCGCCGCTTGATTCATTCATTTGCTTAACTTGTTTTGGACCGTAAACAGGGCGTGAATAGGACACCGGAAACAAAGCTCCCCACAGGAGTTTCCGCACCGGAAGTAGCATATGCTAACGTGCACATAGTCAATTAGTTTTCATTTATACAGTGGCAAATCACAGCAACAGTTGCCTCGAGGTGCTTTGTAGTCACCTTGGTTAATGATACCGCTGTGGCTGTGGTCGTCGTGCTGGTGGAAGCCTGGGTGCCGCTGCCAGAGCCACTGTTGCTGCTAGTCTTACTGTCAGTAGTGGTAGTACTCAGACCTGTTGATGCAGTGGTTGTCCTCATGTCCTAAAGAGCAAACCAACAGAATTTATGACACTGCATTGTGCTGTATGATATTGTATACTTTACATGTAATAACTTTATGTTCAGGCCGAGATTTTAAAGCAATGCATTAACACTGAAAAAATGTAACAGCAGGATAGTTTTTCCATCAAAAATAATCTTGGTTCACTGGTAAGATTTCCTCACGTACTTTATACATTTATTTATTTTAGTGTATACGTTTTTCATTTTTCTTTGAATTCAAAGAAATATGAAAAAACAAAGATTTCCATTTTATTTATTCATTTATTCTGTACTTTTATCTTTTTTGATCATTTCTTACAGCTGATAATGTATTTCATCTACAAGTAAATACAATAAACTCTGATTTGCTGTGTGATAAATAACACTGTAGTCTAGTTCTGTCTCTGAGACTTCAGATTGCCCACTGCAATATGGTTTAAAAAGCAAAAGATCCAAACAGCAGAGCCACAGAGGTGGCAATGCGACTCTATCCTCTCTTTGCATTCAATTAGTTTTCATTTATACAGTGGCAAATCACAGCAAAAGTTGCCTCGAGGTGCTTTGTAGTCACCTTGGTTGATGATACCCCTGCGGCTGTGGTCATCGTGCTGGTGGAAGCCTGGGTGCCGCTGCCAGAGCCACTGTTGCTGTTAGTCTCACTGTCAGTTGTGGCGGTATTAGTACCCGGGGATAAATTGGAGGTAGAATTGGGTCCTTTTGCTGCAGACATTAGCAGCGCATGCTAAAGAGCAAACCAACAGAATTTATGACACTGAATAATAAATTAATAAAACTGACACTACAAATGATATTGTATACTTTATATGTAATAATTGCCCATTAAGGCAGTGATTTCAATGCAATGCATTAACAGTGAAAAATATGAATCAGAATAGTTTTTCCATCAAAAATCATCTTGGCTCACTGGAATAGTTTTTCCATCAAAAATCATCTTGGCTCACTGGTTAGAATTCCCTGAATATTAATTAATTTATTTATTTAAGTGTGTTTGATCAACAAAGATTGCTGTTTGTTTCTTGTTTATTTTTTGTTACATTCATTCTTTTTTACTTTTAATTTCAAGTCTTACCTTGGAAAAGGGAAATCCCAGCAGAGTCAGGAAAGGCAGCGCCAGGAAAAAGTACTTCATATTGCTTGAAATATAATTTCCTCTTGAAAGCTAACAGCTTAAAATATCTTGTTAAAATGTGATTTGTTTTCCGTACTCAAGTCTATGTTTTGTACAATATGTGCTCTCTTCCAAAGCTGGCCTTTTTATATTGCATTCACCTTGTTCACCTGTCAGCCTCCACCCAAGTGATGGACCACAAATGCAAAACTTTACACTGTGCCAAATGAAACCTAACCTATGGATGTGATACCTTCTCTCTAATGTCTTTCTTGTGTCTCAGGCTGCTGACTCGATGCTATTTTTATTCTTTTGTAGAACTCAACAGTTTCAAATAACATGTTATTTTACCTCATTTTCTTTCATCTTGTTTAATTAGGCAGTGTTGTAAAGTACAATGTTTCACTGAAGTTTTTGTCTGATGTGATCCTTTTAAAAGTAGCAACAGTACATCAACAGCTCCACAACTACATTTACTTTAACCTTTCAAAGTTCAAACAGCACGCTGATTTGTCAGGCTTACAGTTAGGCCCATAAATATTTGGACAGAGACAACTTCTTTTTCTAATTTCGTTCTGTACATTACCACAATGCATTTTAAATGAAACGACTCAGATAGAGGTAAAGTGCAGACTTTCAGCTTCAATTCAGTGGGTTCAACAAAAAGACTGCATAAAAATGTGAAGAACTAAAACATCTTTAACACAATCCTTTCATTTCACTAAATATTCACATTTCAGGAAAATAAAATGTTCATTTCTAATACTTTGCTGCTAATAACCGGCTGAAGTCTTGAACTCATGGACTTCACCAGATGCTGGCTTTCCTCCTTTTTAGACCTTGACTGCAGGAGCTTTCAGTTGCTGTTTGTTTGTGGGCCTTTCAGTTCAAAGTTTAGTCTTCCACAAGTGGCATGCATGCTCAGTTGGGTTAAGATCACGTGACTGACTTGGTCATTCAGGAATATTCCAATTTTTTGCTTTAATAATCTCCTGGGCTGCTTTGGCTGTATGTTTTGGGTCATTGTCCATCTACCAAATCAATTTGACTGCATTCAGCTGGATTTGAGCATGTCTCTTTTTTTAAATCTAGCCTTTATCTTCTTGAGGCTTATGAGCAGCTTGCACCTTGCAGTGAACTCTCTTTGTTTATTTTCATGCAGTCTTCTCTTTATGGCAGACTTTGATATTGATACACCTACCTCCTGGAGAGTGTTGTTCACTTGGTTGGTAGTTGTGAAGGTGTCAGGATCCTGGGTCTCTTCACCCAGCTTTTTTAGTTCTTTGTGATTTTTGTATTTTGTCGAGTACTCATGTGATTTATTCTATGGTTTCTAGTTTTGATCCCTTGCCCCTCATGTTTCTCTGTGCCCCTCTTTTCTGTGTAAAGTCTGTGTTTCTTGGTTTGTGTCTTCGCATGTTTTGAGTTTCTTGTGTTTTCTGTCACTCTGTATTGTGAATTATGTTCTCATGGTTGGTCTTTTGTTACTCCCTCGAGTCTAGTTTCTTGTGTTCCAGGATTTCCCTCTGTGTATTATTTATCATCTCTAGTCTTTTGGTTCTTCGCTTTATGGTTATGTCTCTGTGTTTCTTAGTTGCTTTGTTTCTACTATGTCAAGTTCATGTCTCAATGTTATACTTCCTGTTTTACTTTGAAGGTCTGTGTCTGATGTGAGTGTATCCTACTTTGCTTCCCTGTCTCTTCAGTTCTGATTTCCCCCAGCTGTGCTCTCCTTCTGTGTCTCATTCCCTTGTTATTCCCCAGTGTATTTAAGCCCTGTGTTTCTCTGTGTCAGTGTTGCGTTGTCGCTCTAGCTGTGTGTTTCCTCGTGTGCCTTGTAGTGTAGTTTATAGTGTCCCCAGTGAGGTTTAGTTTTGTATGCTTTTCCCCTGCAAGCGAATAAAGCTGAGTGTTTTGAGTTCATCCCTCGAGTCTGAGTGCCTGCATTTTGGGTCCAACTCCTGGCTGCCACACAGCACTTCCTGACAGAAGGGATTTCTCATTACCACTGAAGTGATTCTGCGATTATCCACCCGTTTTTTTCCGTGGATGTTCGGGTCTTTAGACTTTGTCACTCCTAATATTCACCAGTGCTTTCAGTTCGGTACGCATATGTATCGAATAATACAAAATGTTTTATTTATTTTATCAACTTTTCTTCTGACGATGCTGTCTATGTTGAGCGCTAAGTGGATCTGCGTTCGACTACTCCGCCTAGGCTGCACTGTCGAGCGCAGATCCACTGAGCGCAGCGCCTAGCAAGACAACGCTACCCAAATTGACTGCGTTTGGAACTATCTTGGTTTTCATGTGAAGCATGACCCTGATGGTAAGCGCGTCATGGACAAAAGTAAAACAGTATGTCGGATGTGCCACGCAATGCTCAATTGGTGGGAACTAGTGTGTTAGCGCAGTTAGCTTGTTAACGTGTTGACGCCGTCCAGCCCCACGCATGGGGCGATCCGCGGTAACTCGTTAACGGAGATTTGCCGCGTTGTGGCGTTAATGTCATTTTAACGAGATTAACGCTGACAGCACTAGTGGGAACACAACGAAGATGACTGCACATTCACACTGACATCATCCTAGTGCAAAGACAAGTGGAAGCAGACAAAAACAACAAGCACGCATGCTACAAACTTTTAGACAGCCGTTAACATGATTCTCCTTATGGGGACCTGATATGTTTAATATGCTGCTGAGAATATAGCCCAGAAGAAGCGTATAGTATAGCTTTTATTTTGGAAAGAGCCATTTCTCTGTAATAAACTCTCTTTTCCAAAGATGAGGGATTTCTCCATCAGATAGATTTATTTTTTATTACTTTGTTGTTTCAGCAACATTAAATTTAAAAACTGTACTTTTGAGTTAAAATATATATTTATAATTTTAATAAATGACAAATTAAAAAGGCATGAACATTTTTTTGTATCGAAAAAATATCGAACCAGAAGTACCGTATACAATATTATAATAATATATAGGTATATATATTATTAGTATTATATATTCCATTATCAAGTCTCGGGTCCTCTACCAGGGTGAAGAGGCGCTTTCATATATAGCTTTGGATACTAATAGACAAAGGTTGGAAGTGGTTACATTTACAGAAAACCCAAACATACTATGACACAGACGTCCCAGAGGAAAAGTCTTCCTTAGAAAATTAACTTTAAATACCATGTCACATGGCAGACTGGATTTATTCTTTATTCCAGATCAAAGAGGAATTGTCCAACGAGGCAACAGATGTCATTAACCAGTTATAAACCAAGATATTTGCTTATGTATTCTCATCCTTTAAGCTTGCAGTTATACAAACACGTCACAACTTTTTCATCAGCAGAGCAGTACAAGGCATGCATCCTGTGTTGTGAGAGACCTACTCCTAGCCAACAATCTGGGAAAGGTTATAGAAACATGGAATGCAATACAATGAAGGGTATATGGTGAAGGAGAGGTGAAGGGTGCAAGGAATGAGTCATGGAGATGGGGTTGATGAGGACAAGATGATGAAACATGACTTGGGGGGGAGGGAGCAGGTCAGACCAAGAGGTAATAGCATGAAAACAGGAAAGGTGGATGAAAGGGTACGGGGTGAAGGACAGGTTGTTTTAAGACATAAAGAAAATGGATCTTTATTGTTAAAATGGATAAATGGCAATTGCAGCTATATCAAAAGCTGAATGGGAGGTTGAGATATTGATTGGCTTACAGACATAAAAATCTATACTTTATGCAAAATTTCAATATCATATCTTATATGAGTTATATGGTGCGACTAGAACTAGTATTAGCATAATTATATATACATATATATAAAACTGTAAATGGTATTATTATTTTTAATTTGCAAATATTCCACCAGAACATTTTGTGACTTGGTCTTGTTAGATTTTGGTTTGTTTTTGCTAGATGTTGATCTGTATAGTTTCTAGTTGAAGTAGTTAAATTTTTCCCCAAACAATATAATAATATACGTATAATAAGATGCATAAATACATGTTGGCATGAGAGAAACAAAGATGCTACTGTACAAACAGCATGAATTCAAATGTGATGTTGCCTAGCTTTTTTAGTGTTAAGCCAACATGCAAATGGAGCTGTGGGTGCACCACTGCCGTTTCCTTCAGCTAAAACAAACCCGAGGTTGGCTGAAGTGTTCAGTACAATTAACTCTTCAGCCTCCGCAAAAGATCACCATTTTACTTTATTTGCCAAAAAACATTGGTTTCCTTTATTCCCTTTTAGTATTTATGAATGAAACATAGCATTAACATTTGAAGCACAGTGTCATACATAACTTATGGATATTTGTGTAAAAGCAGAGAAAGACTCAGTGCAAACAGAGCACATCACAGCCTTAAAGAAGCAGCCATTTAATACGAGGCTGTAATAATAATGTAATATGTTTCCACAGCATTTAAGGATTTAAATGCAGATTCTATACTTTCATACATTCATTCCAAAGCACAGCAGATCAGAATAGTGACAGCAAACACCAGCAGCTGACTGCAGAACCCAAACAAAGGAGCAGATCCTCCTTTTGTCGTTGTAGATGAGATTGTGGTAAAATTTTTGCTGGTAGTCCCTGTGGATTTCTGTGTGGTGGATGCTGGGGTTCCAGGGTTTTGAGTAGCCCCAGGGGACACTGAGGACCCCTGTGATGAAGTGACATTATCTGTAGAGTGGGAGGTGGTGTCAGATGGTATTCTTGTGGTTTTAGGAGTTTGGGCATGGGTGGTGTTTGTCGTGTAAGAAACAGTGGCGTTCCATTGAGGTGTGGTCGCTGCAGGCTGAGTGCTATTACTCGTAGTGCTGTTATTGGTCACTGCTGGAGTTGTGACATCTGTGGTGCCTTGGCCCTGTAAGAGAAAATAAAAGTTCACGGTGTAAAAGAAATATCTAAATATTCATGTAGACTGTTGCAGAGCCATATGCTCATATCTATCCAGCAACAGTGTTTTAACTATTTTAAATAAATTACAGACGTCAATGTCAGCAATTCATGTGGAACAAATTGCTACTGTAAAGCAGATCTAATTAAAAAATGACAAAGGAGATAACATGAGGCATTCTAATTTATATCATATATGTTGATAAACTGATTTGATATTGATATCATGTACTTATTCGCCTCTGTCAGTGCGTCCCAGGGTGGCTGTGGCTACAATGTAGCTTGCCATCACCAGTGTGTGAATGTGTGTGAATGGGTGGATGACTGGATGTGTAAATCGCTTTGGGGTCCTTAGGGATTAGTAAAGCGCAATACAAATACAGGCCATTTACCATTTATTTGTAATACTTATCACTACTCTAAATTCAATTTCCATGTTCTTCTGTCTGCATTTCCACTCTGTGTCAAACTTCGTGGAATAAATAAAGCTTACAGATGTGTCTCTGTTTCAGTGGAAAATCCTCTGTACGCACAAGCATGCAAAAGTTCGGTACACATTGCTTCAACAGTACGCGAAGCATGAAAGCATTAACTGCACTTTGCATACCGCTGTGATAGGCAGGGCTGCAGGGCCTGATTGTCATGTACTCTGATGTCCTAAACCTGAGTCCTGCTTCTTTGTTCTGTCCACTTGTAGTTCAGACCTATGCTTTATGTAAGATCTGATAAGTCATACTTAGTTTACTTAAATTTGAATGCTGACACAGAAGAAGAACGTATTATTGAGAACAAAAACAGGAGGACAAAGGCGGGGGGAACAACTACGCTGTAGTGCCTCTTCACTTCACTGTGCAATACCTTTTGTGCAATATTTTTGTTAATAGTCAATGGTGCAATAGACCGCAATACTTGAAATGTGCAAGTATTCCTTGTATTTTTATTTTTATTCCTATTTATTCTATTTATTTATATATATATATATATATATATATATATAATATTCTGTAACTCTGTAACTTCTGTCGGTGCTGTGCTTTTGGAAACCGAATTTCCCAGAGGAACCCACCTGAGGGATTAATAAAGTTTTATCTTATCTTATCTTATCTTAAAATTAAGTAAGTAAAGTATGGATATATTCAGTTTCACAGAATCCTAGAAATGAAGGAGCTGTTAATATAGTTCTTGTTCACTGATGCACTGATTCACACTAATTTCAATAATAATTTTATATCACAATCTAAGAAAATGTCACTGTTTACACTTACAGTGCCTATGTGCTGAGAATGATGAGGTGATTCAATTCTACATCCTCAAACATGTACAAAACGAAATACAGTCAAAAGGTTTTGGTTTTATATCCTTTTGTTTTCTTCTCTTTCCCTGCATTTGCATTGACTTTTGATTTAATTTACCTGTGATTTGAATCCAACTACACTTAAGCTAGAAAAACAAATGATTGTGTTGCTTGCCATTAGTAAAAGCATGGTGACCTGAACTGGCTTCTTTTTCTTTTTTAAATAAATGCAACTTTGGTAAATTAAGTGAAAATGCCTCTTACCTCTATGCCCAAAAACATAAAGGTCAAACAGACACATAGGAGAACTGTCCCGGTTATCTTCATCTTGGTCTTCTTGGTAAATTCTCTTTGTACTTTATGGCTGCTCACACCTTTCTGGCTCACCTTTTATACCTGACAACTCCCAGTAGTGCTGATGCTGATAACAGAAAAAAAAAAACCATGCCCTGTTATACACTCTGGTGCACTTTCATAATGCCCTATATGACAGGAAATTAAATGTGTTTCGTGTGTAAAAAAGAGTAACAGTGTGAGGGAAAACTGCTTCCACTGCACTTTGTTAAAAGTAGAATCATATGCTTCTCCTAAAGCTAAGGTTAATATTTGTTTTTGGGGTTTTTTTATAACACGGTGACTGCTTCCTGATACAACTCTGAACCTGCTGAAATGATGCTGGAGGATGCGGAAACACATTGTTCTGACCCCCACTTTCTCAGTAGTGTCATATTACAGGAGATATTATGCTACCATGTGTCCATGTATTTTGTGAAAAGTTATGCTAATAGGTTGGTAGTTTTGGGTACAGTTTTGGCTATACTCACTGTGTAAAATATTTTTTTTTCATGAAAGAATAAACCTGTATCACAAAATTTGCAGGGCTTAGTTATGGTACAAAAAAGTTTTGTTTTTTTTGTAGCAGTTGTATTTATTTTATATTACTAAAGATGGATCACATGAGGACTTGTGTGAAGTTAGAAGGAAAAGGACATCTTGAGACTTGCTAGAGACTGCTATTTGCCACTTCTTAAAATAACAGCTGGTTTTGTTGAATTTGACCTTGCATGTTCGGAAGTATTCTAACTAACAACACAGTTCTCGGTTCTCATCTCTTTTTATTCATATTACATTTCTAGATTTACAACCTTGGTCTTACATTTTTATGAAATCTGTCTCCTCTTTATATTTAACTTTCAGGCAAGGTCAGATAAGGCAGGAATAAACCCGAGGGTAAGTCAACAGAGAAAAACTGTGAAGCAACAAGGTCATTCAAGTGAAAATGAAAGTGGAAAGCTAACCAGGCCTCTGTAGTTATTTTGATAACACAAGAATTCTACTTTACAAACCTTCACATTTTGTATTGATTTTTTTAAAATGGTAAATTACTCACATTTGATTTCACCTTGTCTTGTTGAACTCTTGGAATAACTGATGCAAACAGAAAGGAATGTGAACCTGTGATATTTAATTTCTGATATAAGGTTTTACAAATATTTGAGGAACCCTATCAACTTCCAGAAAAAATCGAATGTGACCAAACCATTGTGAAAAAAAGAGAAGTACTGTTACTTTTCTGTTGTACTTGTTTTTGTACCCGTTTTCCATTGCAAAAACAACGTTCAGCTATGGTCAAAAGTTTACATACTTTCTTCACTGGCATATATGACATGATGATTTTAATTATTTCTTCGAATAGTTCTTTTTCAAGGGTGGAATCATTGCAACAGAATACAGTTTTAATTACTTAAAAAAAACCCAAGAATTAGATGCACAAGGTTGAATGCTGAGAGGAAAGGGTGCCATAATCATTTGCATCTTGTCACATATTAACATGTATCAGGTTCTTCTCACAGGTAGATGCGTGACTCTATCTGCAGAAATACGTTGTTGTTGTTTCTTAAATAGCCAGGTCATAATTTCTGGAAAAACAGACACTGGTGCTGAGGATTTCAAGTCTATTTTAATTCTATTTCTATTTTAATGTCCCGACACATGGCTATACACACCAAAACAAGCCAAACGGATGGCACTATAGTCCAAGTGGAAAAATCTGTCATTTTTTATTTGAGGTGTATTGTCCCTTTAAATTTTAAGACTGATTGCACAAATATTTAATATGTGAGTATGTAACAGGTGCATACTGGGTGTTTTATAGTTGATTAACGAAAGCATATGTATCCTGTGGGGGAAGTCGAATACAAACCTAAAACTACAAAACATTTTAAATAACTTCATTTCTCTCCTACCACCGTATTATTACAACAATAGAGAGGAAGCAAACTTGTTCCTGTAACAAATGATTCTGGTAGGTATGAGATCACAAGTAGCCTTTTGTAGCACGTTATCAGCTGGTTTATCACAGCACTGCATATTTCCTGGTACAGGAAAGTTCCGATAACCAAATGTCCCAGGACACAATATAGCACAACCATCGCAAGTGACACTCTTACATGTTTCCATGTAGAATAGAGTGGGATTTTATTAATGTAGTACACATTTTCCTTATGAATTTTAGCACCAAATATTTCTTATAGAATAGTTCATTGGCACAGTGGCTACAGATACAGCATAGCATCGGAGGTTTGCAATGGACCAGTCAAAGTGCAGAGCTCAACCCAACTGAATTGCTGTTACAGGACCTTAAGAAAGCGGTGTATATATGAATGTCTGCAAACACCAATCGACTGAGGCAATACGGTAGAGAAAAATAGGCCAAAATTCCTTCACAACAATGTGAGAAACTAATAAGGTCATACAGAAAACAATTATTTCACTCCTGCTAAAGGTGGTTCTAGAAGCTATTGGCTAATGGGGTGTAATTCGCTTTTTAGAGAACTACATTGTCATTTGAAACCTTTTTTCCCACAGGATCAGATGTTTGAGCAATAAAAGACAAATCTGTAAATAAATACTGCTTACTAAATTTCATACTGTCTACAAACTAAACAACACTGAACAATGGTGCAAAATGCAGCTGCTCA